GTCGGGTCCGCTCTGGTCCTGCGGCCGCTGTGCCGGCGGGTCGGGTCTGTTGTCAGATGCTACCAGGGTGGTGCTTCTGCTTTCTCCTGTTGATATCACTCGGCTGCGTGCGTGTGTTCCCTCTGTGTGCTGCCCCAGCTCTGCGCAGATAGCTGATACAGCAAACCCGACGAGAACCCCCAATAACCACAGAGTCTAGTAAGATGCAAAGTCACTTCGGACTAGGTTTATTGCGATCTCGGACACAATTGCAGTTCCCCGTAGATTACTTAGTCTACCGGGCATACTACTAATAGATGCCTCTTGGCAAGGACCCGGCTCAGTGGCGGGACTTTCCACTGCCCCCGTGGCCGGACAAAGACACCACCCCAGGGATACATTTTTATACACAGGTACAAACAAGTTACACAAGTTACACATCACTCCTGACGTATTGAGGTGCAACCCCTCTACGCAGCAAGGTACAACCCTTCTACGTAGTAAGGTGCCGCCTCGCACCTTGTACCTGTTGGTTCGATCAAAACAACTCTATCCATCATTTTACCCTTTTGCCCCTGTCATTGGGATGGGTCGGCCTGTTCCATGTTATCTGTGGAATGTTTCGGTATAGTGTGTCTTGGTACCATATTTATACTGTAACTATGCTAAGTGGATATATATTTATGCAACATCAGCCCTTTCCTTGCCAGCTTCTGTGAGCAGGGCCTGCCTCTTGCTCACAGCTTAACTTTGCTTTATGCTATCAAAGTCTTGACCATTACTTTAGGTCAGGCCTTAGGGCCTTTACTTACTACAGGGTCCGCTCTGGTCCTGCGGCCGCTGTGCCGGCGGGTCGGGTCCGCTCTGGTCCTGCGGCCGCTGTGCCGGCGGGTCGGGTCCGCTCTGGTCCTGCGGCCGCAGGGCTCGGGAGGTGGGGGCGGGAGCCGGCGATAGAGCCGATCGCCATGTTGCTCAGCGCTCTCTCCCCTCTGCCAGGTACATCATGGGGTTCATCAGCAAGGAGCGGGAGCGCGCCATCCTGAGCACCAAGCCGCCAGGCACCTTCCTGCTGCGGTTCAGCGAGAGCAGCAAGGAGGGGGGCATCACCTTCACCTGGGTGGAGAAGGACATCAGTGGTACGCGCCCCGTGGGCGGAGCTCGTATGTCCGGACAGGGCCGGTCGCCGAGCCGGGGGGAGTCGCGTGGGCCCGCGGAGCTCATGATCTTAGCGTGTCTTTGCCCTGCCCTGCCATCAACTCTGCCACCCAGCAGTCGGCCAGGGTCACGGGGGCTTGAACCCTGCTCTCCGTGTCCCCAGCCAGCGCTCTAAACACTGCCCCTCCTTCCCCCCGACCGGTCACATGAGCCGTGCTGAGCTGCCAGGAACGGGGGGTGTTCTGCACCTCCCCGGAACCTGCATCCCCGGGCTCCAGGCCCAGAACCTGCCTCTCTTCTTACGCAGCGGCTGGGTGGGCTGTCTCTGTTCCTGGTGGTTCTGTGGGGCGTTTCCCAAGTGAGCCAGGAACAGGCCCGCATGAAATGCTGCCTCCTCCTCCAGGGAAAACCCAGATCCAGTCCGTGGAGCCGTACACCAAGCAGCAGCTCAACAGCATGTCGTTCGCGGAAATCATCATGGGCTACAAAATCATGGATGCCACCAACATCCTGGTCTCGCCCCTGGTCTACCTGTACCCAGACATCCCCAAGGAGGAAGCCTTTGGCAAATACTGTCGCCCGGAGAGCCAGGAGCACCCCGAAGCTACGGACTCAGGTAGTCGTTGACATTCCGCCCCTGCTGTCTCTGTCCAGTGGCTGGCGGGAGCTCTGCAGAGAGGGAGCATTGGGGAGATCCGGCAGCCGCTAACGACCAGCGTCATGATGGCAGGGAGCTGCCTCCCTGCCTGGATTGATGCTTCCTGTGCTCGTGGGTAGAGAAGCCGGCCCATCTGCGGCTGGCCGGGTATCCCCAGAGCGGGGCCGACTGGGCTGGGACAGACGCTGTTCAACTAACCTGCTCTTCTCCCCACAGGCACTGCGCCGTACCTGAAGACCAAGTTCATCTGTGTCACCCCGTAAGTGTTCTCCGAGGAGGCTGCTGCCTGGGGGTGTCTGAGCACAGGGTCGTGCTGCTCCGTAGGGGCCATGACAGACGTGCCTCGACTGTGAGAGCCAGACTCTGTTGTGTTCTGGGGCAGCGAGCCCAAGATCCGGCCCTGTTGGGCTGGGTGCTGCACAGAGGCCCCGTCCCAAGGAGCTCAGAGACTCGCCGGCTCAGCCCTGCGGGGGGAAGGGGGGGGGTCTCCCCATTTTGGAGAAGTGGGACCCAAAGGCACAGGGTCACCCAGGAAGTGGGCGCAGAGCTGGGAATTGATCCTTCCCGTGGGAGAGCCCCCCTCCCACGCAGGCCCAGCTCCGTCCGGCACTAGGCAGCCCCGCTGCCGCGGTGATGGACACGGCTCTCGGCCTCTCATGGCTTCTCTTGTGCTGTTCCCCCCCCCTCCCGCTACAGAACGACCTGCAGCAACACCATCGACCTGCCCATGTCCCCGCGCACGCTGGACTCGCTCATGCAGTTTGGTAATAACAGCGAGGGAGCGGAGGCCAATGCAGGAGGCCAGTTTGGTAAGTGGGCAATGCCTGGCCCCCTCAGTGCCCCCGGGCATGGGGCCTCTGATCACTTAGAGCCGGCAGGGGACTCCGGGTCTGGTGCCAGCCCCCTCCAAGAGCCCAGGCTCACCTTAGACCCTTCCCAGCCTGGTGCCTCCCCAGCTGGGAGAGGCATGTTGTGTCTAGGGGCTTCCCCCATCTGACTGGCCCCTGTCCCTCTTTCCCTGCAGAGTCTCTGACCTTCGACATGGAGCTGACTCCGGAGTGTGCTGCCTCGCCCATGTGAGGGCCACGCGCCCGGCTCCGCGTCTCGACAACTCTCGCTTCCCGGCTCCAAGTCATTCCCTCGTCCTGCTAGGTCATGCGTTCGCTCCGTGCCCCAGAGCATTCCCAGGCTGCTCCCTGGGGAGAGACGTCGGCCTGGGGGGTCCCGATCAGCTCATGGCCGTCTAACCGGAGCACCCAGCCGGCGCTCGGAGGTGGTGCCGGGGGGCTGGGGGGAGGGAACCTTTTTTTCTATTTCCTTCCATAACAAACGTTTTCTGCTCGATCAAGTGCCTGTTAGCATCTGATTGCCGCCTCCATGCGTGCAAAGCGCTTTCCAGACCTCCTGCGGCGCTGCCAGACGCCCCTTTCCCAGCTCGTCCCTCGCTAACGTCTAAATCCCCCCAGGATTTCAACGAACAGCCGCTTCTTTGAGGCAGCCGGGAAAGGAGCCTGGGAACCCGGCAGTCCTAACACCAAGAGCTTTAGCTAGTCGGCGTAGGGGTGAGGAGTGCAGAGAACGCGCCGGGCTGATCTGACTCGGGCACCAGCCCGCGTCCAACGAAGGGGCTGCCAAGCGACTTCCCCCTACAGGCAGGTTATTCCAGAGTGGTTGTGCCTCCCGGGAGGCACTTGGTTCTGGGCTCCAGGAAAGGCCGGAGGCTGGGCTGGCCGGGCCGGGCCGTCAGCCCAGGTGCTGGGGTAACAGGTGGCCCGACCGATCTGTCTCCAACGTGGGGAGCGGTTGTCCTGGCCCCTGAGCTGGAGTCAGACGCGAATGGCGCGGTTCAGCTCCTTGCCCGTCTGCCAGGGCTCAGGTTAGACCCAGCATGGGCGACGAGCAAGCCAGACGCCCGCCTCCCCCTCCAGGCAGCCCCCTGGAAATCGGCCTGCCCTGTGTGCCGGGGCTGCGGGGGGGATCTCCAGCGAGCAAGACAATCGTTCTCCCCTGGCGCACCAGATCCACATACTGGCTGCCGTCCCCATGCTCCCTGATCCCACGCAGCTGGGTCCTTCCTCCAGGTGGTCACTGCAGTGACAGTGGGGTGCCCTCGGTTACCGATCCGCTCTCTGGTGTAACCCGACTGCCCCCCATCCCTGCCCCGGCTGCTGGGCCCCGAATCAAACGCAGTGTCCTTGGCGCTCTCCAGCCAGAGTTGAAACCCCACAGACCTGCAGGGCCTGCCAGCCCCAGCCCCGTCGGGCTGAGAGCAGAAACACACAGTGGCAGGCGCTGGACACACTTCGTTTCAGTCTGAGGTGGTTTTTTCAGCGATAAGCTAGCAGGCTGGATGGCCTAGGAGAGTCAGCAGCCACCTCCCAGCCAGCGGTGCAGGGTGAGGGCTGCAGGAGGAAAGCTAACGACTCTTCTAGCCTCTGCCGGAAACGTGCCAAATGGCCAGCAAAGTGTTGTGGGTCAGAGAAGGTGGATCTCCTCCGTGGAGCCTGGGTCGCCCTGCAGCTAGGCAGGGCGACTGTATGAAGCCATTACACACAGACAGTTCTACGCTGTACGTAACCAAGCGCCATGCTTTGAATGTCTCAGGCTTAATGGATCACAGTATTGAAGCAGCACGCGCTGCTGGTGGGCGAGGGGAGTGGGGGTGCAGAGCAAGAGCCGTCTGCATTTTCCAGTGTGGTCTAAACCCAGGCTTCTAGACACTTGTGGGTGTTTCCTTTTCTTAACCCAGAAGCCTGGAGAAGCCCTAGGCCAGGGCGGCAGCAAGCGCCCGTGCTGAGCTGCTGCTCCAGGCCCTACTCCATGGGCAGCCTTCGCACGGGGCTAGCGCTTTGCACTAGTGCACTGCGTGGGCTCACGCTCCCCGAACTGGCCCTTTGGTGCAGACCTAGGTGCTCAGATGAGGTGAATACTGTTTGCTGACCCGGGTTTATTTCTTAACACACTAGCCGCCTCCTTCCACCACCACCTCCCCGCCTGCCTCTCTGCTTCTCCATCATCCAGCCGCCTCGGGCCTATACGTCCCCTAGTGACGCTCAATACTGTAAAGATTTTATTTTTTGTATATTTTATTGCTGTATTTACAGGCTTTAACTTTCTCCTAAATAAAGGTGCTAAAGCAACTGTGCGCTCCAGCTGGATTAATCTCTAAGCAGTCACTCCAACTCTGTCGGGTTAAATGCAAAAACCAGGGGCAATCAGAACGGCCAGACTGGGTCAGACCAATGGTCCATCTCCCCCAGTATCCTGTCTGCTAGCAAAGCCCAGTGCCCGGTGCTTCAAAGGGAATTACTAGAACAGGGTAACTTTATCGAGGGATCCTTCCCGTCAGCCAGTCCCAGCTTCTGGTAAACAGGCGTAGGAGACACCCAGAGCATGAGGTTGTGTCCCTGACCATCTTGGCTAATAGCCATTCGTGGACCTGTCCTCCATGAATTTATCTAGTTCTCTTTTTGAACTCTGTTATCCTTGTGGCCTTCACACCCTGCCCTGGCAGAGTTCCCCAGATGATGGCGCAGTGCCTGACGTACTTGCTTTGGTCTGTTTTAAACCTGCTGCTATTAATTTCACTGCCTGACCCCTGGTTCTTGTGGTATGTGAAGGGGTAAAGAACACTTTCTCCACACAAGTCATTTTAGAGACCTCTCTCATATCGCCCTGTAGCTGTTTCTTTTCCAAGCTGAACAGTCACCATCTTTTCAGTCTCTCCTCAGAGAGAAGCTGTTCCGTACTCGTAGGCATTTTTGTAACCTTAGAAATGTAGAAGGTACAGAGGAGGGTACCTTTTTCTGAGATGGGGTGACCAGATCTGCACGCAGTAGTCAAGGTGTGGGCATACCAGGGATTTATATAGTGGCATTATGATATCGTCTGTCTTATTATCTATTCCTTTCCTCATGGTTCCTAGTATTATTCGCTTTTTTGACAGCTAGTGGATGTTTTCAGAGAACTATCCACAGTGACTCCAAGACCTTGGAGTGGTAACAGCTAATTTAGATCCCGTGATTTTGTGTGGAGAGCTGGGATGGTTTTTCCAAGGTGCGGTGCTCTGCATTTAGCCGCAAGGCAGCCCCAGTGGCCCGGGCTTCGCTCCTCTTGGCTTTAAAGCAAGGTGGGTGAGCGCATTGTAAACACCAAGACAAATGGAGCCTCTATCCCCACCCCCCACCGTGGCTGCTGGGGGTTCCTGGGCAGGCCTGGCTCCTTGACTAACGAACGAGGAGTGGAGGCTGCTGCCGGGGGAGGTCTGCCCAGCAGCCAGCAAAACCGGTGTCTTTCCAGCCTGCCGCTGGCTGTTCCTAACTCTCTGCCCCCGGGGAGCCAGGGCCCAGCCTGAGCTGCTGCAGGTCCCACCCGTTCCTTGCGTACCTTCTGCAGGTGCCATGCTCAGCAGGCAGGGTGCTCTGCCAGCCACTAACAGCCCTGGGAGGAACCTGGCCCCAGCCCTGGGCACTGAACCTTGCAGTTGGCGCCCCAGGCTGGGCAGGGCCAGAACCAGAACCCGAACCCAGCTGTCCCTTGACTGGCCCCTCCACCCCAGAAGCTGGGGGCTAGGCAAGGCTTCTACATTGAGGGCTCGAGCCGAGCGGGTGCCTTGCTGCTGCCCTGCCACGGCTGCTTGTTCCGTCTCCATGGTCCACCAGGGAACCACCCCTGCTTTCCTGGGCAGGGGCCACGGGCCATGTGGGCGCAGCAGCTCACCAGCACCACCTCCTGCCCCAGGGATGTATTGCGGTTTAGAGCCTCCACTCGCTCATGCCCGCAGCAGTCACCTGCCCCAAGCACAGGGCTGGGGCCGGTTCTTTCCTTCCACTGAGGCACTGATGGGGGCAGGGAGGGGGATGGATGAAGGCCCCTGTGGACAGTGTCCCCATGTATAAAACGGGGTGCTGGGTGCGAGGGAGAGAGCAGTGGGGGTACAGGGCCAGAGCCCAGGGCAGGCCAGCAGCAGGGGCAAGGGGCTATTCACAGCACTGGGGGGGGGGGGGGGCCCCGGCGGGAGGGGGGGCCCGGGGGGTGGGGGGGGGGGGGGGGGCTTAGCTGCTATGGCAGCAGGGAGGTGCTCCATGGCCCCTTTGCAAAGGAGCCGCAGGAGGAGTGGGTGCCCCAGCTCCCGAAGGCCCTTTGGGTGTCCAGCCGCGGCAGCACCAGGCCTATCGGCCCAGCCCAGCTCAGCAGCAGCTGGGAGTCAGGGCTCAGCCCAGCGCATTGTGCAGCACCCGGCGCAGCCAGGTCTGTGTTCAGACAGGGCCTAGTGCCGCTGCAGGGGAGCCGCTCTCCCAGGGCAGGTCACTGCTGCACCCCTGGGTGCCCGCCTGCAGGGCTGGGGCAGGAGCAGGGCCCTAGTGCTGTGTTGTGCTGCCACCTCGTGGCAAGCCAGAAAGCTGCAGCCGAGCTAAGGGGCCCAGCTGTTCTGCTGGCTGCGGGGGGCTGAGTTGAGGCTGCTTCGCTTTAGAGCTTGGCCCGGAGCTGGGGAGGGGGGTCTCCTTTCTCCAGCCCCTGCAGGCCCCCGTTTCACTCCCTCCCCGTTGGTCCGGGCGGGGGGCCTGGCTGGGAGCCCAGTGACTGCAGCACAGGTGCAAAGGATGCTGGGTGCATGGGCCAGGCCCTGCTCTGCCATGGCCTCCCTGCACCATCTTGGGCCAGTCCCTCAGGGTACAATAGGGACCCCAGCACTGCCTCTTGAGCTCACACACCAGAGGCCCCCCCCCCGCCCCAGCACAGCCGCATGTTGGCTGGGCCCAGCTGCTGGCACGGGGCAGGTGGAGCTGAGCAGGCTGCTCGTGGGGGCCGGTTAAGAGCAGCAGCGCCCTGTGCACCCAGCCAGGCCCGCAGCCCCACGCTGCTGGGGACGGACGGACGCCCCGTGCACCCGGCCAGGCCCGCAGCTCTGCGCTGCTGGGGACGGACGGACGCCCCGTGCACCCGGCCAGGCCCGCAGCCCCGCGCTGCTGGGGACGGACGGACGCCCCGTGCACCCGGCCAGGCCCGCAGCCCCGCGCTGCTGGGGACGGACGGACGGACGCCCCCTGCACCCGGCCAGGCCCGCAGCCCCGCGCTGCTGGGGCCGGACGGACGCCCCGTGCACCCGGCCAGGCCCGCAGCCCCGTGCTGCTGGGGACGGACGGACGCCCCGAGCACCTGCCTGGAGCAGCCTGGGCTGGATGTGGAGCCTCGCTTCACCAGCTGCCTTTAAAAACCATCCGTTTTATTACCTGGTCGGTCACGAGAAAAATGGGGTCGAGAGCCGAAAGCAATGGCTGCCACAAGAAGGGAATCCCCCCTCCCCGGCTGCCACAAGGACAGGGTGTCACTCAAGGCCAACATGGGGGGAGGGATGAGCCCAGGGGGGGCAGACCCCCTGCTTGTCCCTCCCCAGCCTGCTGCCCAGCATTCCCCTCCCAGAACAGGGGCTGCCCCAGGGTTGCCCCTTGCTTTTCAACCCCTGCCTGGCTTTTGGGGCTGGGGCACGCTGGGATAACTCAGTGCGTGTCAGGGGCAGGGGGCTGTGAGCAAACGTGGCGGGGGTGGGGGCCAGGAACGAGGCCGGGTACGATACTGATAAAGAAACAAACACGGCTGCTAAGGGGCGAGGCTGGGCCGGGCCGCGTTCCCCACGCCCAGAGAGAGGCGGCTCTGCCAGTGGAGCCAGGGGACACTAGCTAGACCGGGACCCTGCCATGCCCCCAGCAGCCTGCCCAACACCAGCACCCACCTGGCTCAGGCCTGGCACGAGGCGGCACTGCCAGTGCAGGGAAGGATTTGGGGAGGAGCGCTGCGCGAGCCAGGAGCTGCTGGGGCCCCCACAGATGCAGCCAACAACAACGCTGCAGCTGGCGCAGAGCAAAGCCCCCAGCCGGGCAAGCCCCACACATGGGCCCACGCACAGAGACACGAACACAGGGCTGCTCT